GCCTCCATTTCCACACGGTAAGAAGTAACTTTCTCAAAGTCCAATGCCTTTTTCAGTCGAATTTCTCCCGTGATCTCATTTATTGAGAAAGTTTGCTTAATGTCATCTGATGCTTGGAAGAAGCCATAGGAAACACTCCCAAAGTTCCCATCATCTGCATCTTTGGCTAGCACGTTTAGAATCACAGAATCTGGTGGGCTGTTCTCCAGGACCCGCACCTCATATGGAGAGTGCACAAACTCGGGAGCATTGTCATTGACGTCCATGATCAGGACTCGAACCAAGACTGTGCCAGACCTAGGTGGAGTCCCACCATCCAGAGCCACAAGAGTTAAGCTGAGCTCAGCCTGTTCCTCGCGGTCCAGCGCTTTGTCCTGGACCAATTCTGGGTACTTCTTGCCTTCGCTATTATTTCGAGTGAGCACATAGAAGTGAGCATTGGGGCTGACTGTGTAAGTTTGAATCCCATTAATACCCACATCCAAATCCTCTGCTAATGTTAATGGAAACAGAGTTCCTGGGTGGCTGTTTTCCGGTATTTTCAAGAGCACTTCCCTATCAGGAAAAACCGGAGCATGATCATTTATATCTTCAATCAGTAATTCTCCCGGAAAAAATTGCACTGGCATTTCCAGGAACACTTGGAAACGCAACACACACGGTTCCCTCGGGCCACAGAACTCCTCCCGATCTAATTTCTCCCTCAGAAGCAAATCTCCATTCTGAGGGTCCAGCAGCAAATGCTGTTTATAATCGTCAGACACCACCCTGGCAGATCGGGAAGCCAATTCCCCAAGTGCCATGCCGAGATCTTTGGTAAGACTGGCTACAAAGGAACCGCTTTCTGTTTCTTCTGGCACAGAAAATCGCATGGGCTCCGGGCGAACAAAAGACACAAACAGCATAACAACAAAGAGCCTCACTTGCCTGTTTGAGAGAATCATCTCTACCTTCTCCATGTTGGAGTCTGATGCTGGCATTCAATCCCTTCTGCCGCTGCTGAGGAAATGCTGGAGATGTATTATGATTTCTTGTTTGGCTGAATCATCAGAAAGTGGCTTTTCTCCACCAATTCTTTGGTATACGTTCGACCAACTCCGTTTATAGCCTCTCTCAACTGTGTATTACAGTGTAAAGGAATACAGGCGCTCTTTAGGGCTTTTTATTCGGAATCTTAGCCTGCACCGCCACCCTGCGTCCTGATTGAGAAATGAATCCGAGATATTCAAGTAAAATATCCTTTTCAAGTTTCTGATTGAATAGAGCTGTGATAGCAACTGTAGTTAGTACTATACATCAGGCAGTTTCTCTGTGTTCTGCGCTTAGTGAAATAGCTCACTAAAGGAAATTTTAGATGTCGGTGTGATGGCAGGAGGTTCTTCAGGCTAGCCAAGGAGGCCAGCCTTGGCTTTACAATAAGACCCTGTCTCAAAAAGTAATTAAAGCTTAAGAAAGTTTTATTCGTGTATAAGGATAAAGGCTTCTGGTTGCACATAAGTGAAGACAACTTTCAACCAAAGGGTTTTTGACTGCACATAAATGAAGGCAATTTTCAAACAAGTAGAAGGCATAATTATTTCTTGTCATCAAATTTAGACCATTATCTTCGTTGCATTTGCAAAATTCTACTTAACCACCAGTGTATAAATTCAATTTATTCATATCGCTAATGATTATTTCATGTGAATCACTGATAGGATCTGCAGTTGAGTATATAGCTTGGTGGTACAGTCTTGCATGCCCATGGCCCCAGCCATCACCACCACAATGCATGAACACTCTTATTAGTTACATCTATTTTGTCCTCAAACTGTAAATAACCCTCCAAAATTTAATGGCCTGGGAAAGAATTGCCTCCTCTTTACATGTCACAATTAAATGTTTCCCATGGATTTGGTACCAAATGGATGTTTTAAACAGAAGATTTGGCCTTTTTCCTTCTCTTCATAGAAACAGCTACGTATAAAAAGATGAAAACATGTGCCTCAAAGTATATTCAAGAATACATTTAAAGTACATAGAGTGAAAGGAAAAAAATTATTTTTGATTATTAAGGAGTTAGGCATCTGATGTTCGGTTGCATAAAGTGAATAGTATTTTGTTCTGGGTATACAACCAAGGTTCTCCTGCATTCTGGGCATAAATTTCATACTCTATCATTGATGTGTATGCCCCATCCATCACCATATAAATGTAGCTGTAACTGCACTTTATGTATGCTTAAAGAAATGCTAGCTGGACGCTGGTGGCTCATGCCTGTAATCTTAGATATTCAGGAGGCTGAAATCTGAGGATCACAGTTCAAAGCCAACCCTGGGCAGGAAAGTCCATAAGACTCATCTCCAATAAACCACTAGAAAGCTGGAAATGGCGCTGTAGCTCAAGCAATACAGTACTCACCTTGAACTGAAGAGCTCAGGGATAGTGCCCAAACCCAGAGTTCAAGCCCCATGACCAACAAAAAGAAAGAAAAAAAGAAAAAAGAAAGAAATTCTAATCTTATTTTTCCTCTTGGAAAGTTCCAAAAATCTTGAGAATTTCCATTCTATTTCTTTTAGTCATTATTGTTCAATTTCTGTAAAGCAATCATACCCATGTGAAGAAAAGTTATTTTTCTAATACATTTCTTTAAACACTAAATGTTTTATTGACAAGATTTGTTGTTTCTGTTGTTTTAAATTTTATTCTTAGCTGTAGTTAACTTAGACTTTCATAATATTGCTCTTTTTCCTTTGGTACTTTTTGTTAGCTTCTTTCTTTGGGCTTGGGTGCTGTCCCTGAGTCTTTCTGTGCTCAAGGCTAGTGTTCCACCACTTGAGCCACAGCACCACTTCAGTTTTTTAATTAGAGATAAGATTATTATGGGTACTGTTCTGCTTTGCTGGCCTCAAATTGAGATCCTCAGATCTCAGCATCTTGAGTAGCTAGGATTACAGGAGTGAGCAAATGGTGCCAGGCTTATTCAGCTTCTTGTAATTACAATGTTGGAAGTAGAATGCTGATGTGTATTATCTCCAAAGGACTGCAAATAATCCCAAAACAATATTAGATATTAGTGTAAATCAGGAAAATAAAGGAAGAATAAAATAGTTCCCTTCTAAAACACCCTATGTATGTCAGGGAATCATGAATAATGAAGTAGGACTCCATGGACAGATACATTTATGTTTCTTCATGAGATTACATGTGACAGGAGTCTTTACATTTGCAACTCTGAATTTACAAATCAAACTGTCATCCCTCATGCCTTAATAATGTCTCATTCACAGTAGAAAGCACAATCAGATGTTTAAAATGGTTTGTTTAATTTTGTCCTCAGTCATTGTGAATATGATTTGACCAACTATAATCATTTAAGAGGAGTTTGCTGTACTCATTTATATTTTTGTCCATTGTATGTAATACACTAACAAAATATTAACTGTAACTGTCAATAAAGAGAATGAATCAAATGTTTTATTTTTATTTTTGTACTATAAGCCTAAATGGGAATTAATTGATCTGAAACACTTCCTTATTTTCCCTACAGGCCATTACGTAAAGATGCACTAGGAATATTATAACAAGCACAGAATGAAAATACAGTGCAAATACAGAATGGAGTTTTGTTCAGCCATAGAGTAGAATCAAACTATGCAGTTTTCAGTACATAGGTGAGATGGGAGAAACCATGTTAACCTACATAAGCCAAACTCAAAACAAGAGTATCATAATTTTCCTCTCATATATGGAATTTAGAGTAGAAAAAACATGAAAATCCAATGCAACAGTAATATTCACAAGACACTATGTAGGAAATAAACTCTACAACTTGGGGCGGGGTGGGAGGTAGTTGGAGGGGAGTGAAAGCAAGGGGGAAAAATGAGGGAGGTGGTAACAACATTCCACACGCAATGTACTCATTACCTTCCTATGCAACTGTAACCTCGCTGCACATCAATTTGACAATAATTAAAAAATTTTTAAAAGAACATGAATCTAAAAAGGAAAGGGGAAAAACCGAAAAGTAATAAGGAAGATAAAGGGATTGAAAAGGGTAAATATATGCAAGTACAACAGAAAATTAAGTGGCAAATTTCACTGTTGAAATAAAGATAGCATGAGAGAACTATTCGTTATAAATGAAATGTTTTGAATTTTATGATGGATTCTTTCCATTTACAATTAACTTAAATACATGGTTAAAAACAAAACTATGCCTGTACTTTGAAAATTTTAACATTTACACGTTTGTTTAACTACACAGACTCTGACTGTAACTGCTTTTAAATACATAATTTGAAATGAGTTAAGTAGATGTATTTGAAATCACCAGTAAAACAATGGATTCATTATTCCTGCCCATTAGCAAAAAAAAAAAAAACATAAAGGCATTCATTAACTGAATTAATGAGAAGAGCCACTTTGATATAAGAAAAACATAAAACCACAAACAATCTCGTATATCGATATGAAAACAAGAGAAAGGAATATAAAGTTTTTAATATTTCAGTTACTACAAAGCCTCAGCCTTAAGTGTCATGAAAAAGACTATTTGGAATAACGGGTTTCAGGAAATTGAACTCATTGGTGCCAGTTCCTCCCTGCAGACACACCTCATACTGGTAGCTGTGGGCCAGGGTCCCCGTGCCACTCAGGTCCAGCAGGTGTCCAGGCAAGGGGCCATCGGGCAGCGCGCAGCCGGCCAGCGAGCGCGCCCTGCTCCTCCTGCACAGCCTGGCGGCCACGAAGAG